GGAAAGAGAAATGGGCATTTCCTTTGGGTTATGACCTGCTACATGATCCACATGACGCAGCACCGTTTCCTCACCGTGTGCCATGAACAGCCGACTCCCAGGGTCTTTTTGCTTACATGAAGTCTGGTGATCCCACTTCAGTCCCTTGCTATCTTCAAGAGCAGGATGTTGGTGCTTTAAAGAGGTTCGTACCCGATTGCCTAGTTGAAAAAAATTTATTCTAATAAGTAGTTGTAACTAGTGTCTGAAGTTAAAAGAATTTCATAGGAGCTCTGAAGCATATTGTCATCTCTCCGCATAGAACAGCACAGGTATCGGTGGCAGTCACCACAAAATATTATCTGTGTGACTGGCATCAACAGCTCCTTGCAAAACAAGCTTGCCCCAAGCCTGTCATTGCTTAATGAGAACAACGACTTGGAGAAGGAGCCAAAAGAGGACAGGAATTAAAACCTGTTCTCAGAGGGGAAGGGGAGCTCTCCTTTGTTGGGTGGGAAGAATCCAGTAAAATGCAACAGGAAGAAAGTGGTGGGCCTGATGGTTGTTTTTCTTGACAGGTCAGTAATCAAGGAGAGGAGAAAATTTAAATAGCAAAACAAACACTTCTCACCCCCCCTTGACAGTGCACAAGGTTGGGAGAGTGCCAGGGCCCGTGTCTGAACAAACAGTAATAATGGGTACCTACGTGCAAAATAATATAATGAATATTGAAAGTTAACATCTAAAAAGGCAATTCTGTCAGCAGTTCAGAAGAGTTAGATGTTTCCTGTACTGAAGTCTAACAGAATTCTAAATAACATGTTCATTATAAAAGTAAGACCCTCTGAAAGGCAGATAGCAGTGGCTGCTGTCATTAAAATCTGTGAATTATTGTAGTGCAGAAAATGAGCACAGTGACAACTTCATAAGTGTATTTCAGAGAAGGTAGGGGACTGATTAGAATGGCCTGGAAGTCAGCATTTAGAACTTTTAAAGCCCTGATATTCTGCACGTACCTGCAGCCCTCGTCACCTTCCACTGGGTGCCATCACTCTAAGAGGTGTAAGGAAGGGGAGAGGGAAGTAAACCTTCAGGAAGTGAAGCGGTTCCATCAATAGTGAATTAATCTGAGTGCGAAGAGAGACTGAGCAACTTGGGAAATACCCTTAAAAAAACACCCTTTGAAGCAATTCTCTGTCTTCCCTGTACTGCTTTTAGTTTGCACATCTTTCCTACTCCTCTTTCCTCATCTCTTTTTTAAAACACCCTGTGGTGCAATCCTGCCCCTCGCAAGAGGACAGCAGGTACAGGGAGCTGCACAGGACTCGAGTGCACCAGATAAATCTGTTCCTCATCGGGGAACCTGGTAGCGTCGGAGACAAGGTGTTTCACTGTGTCACTTGTACTGACTTCTGGAAGGAAAAAATGCATATTTCTGATGTAGGTCACAATTGAGACCTTTAGCATAGGAATAACTCTTTGCATTTAAATTGTCTGTTAATCTGTAAAGGAGAGTTAAATGTAAAATTTGTTGGAAAGTCCAGGTTATTGAATAAAGGTATTGCAAACCAGGGGCACAGACACTGTCAGAAATCCCAGCACCACCCAGTTCCTACTGAGAACAAGGGCAGGGGGGAGATAGAGGCACCCCCTGCAGCCACCCGCTTGGGAGAGGGGAATGGGTCAGATGTGAACGATGCTGAAGTAAATAAGGAATTGGATGAAAATCACTTGGTGTGCCGCGTTCAGGGCTGTTCTTGGCTCTGAGGTGCCGTTACAGGGACTGCCAGCCATGGCCTTGGTACAGAAAAGCATCGGGGACGGACACACAACAACAAAAATAATCCTGCAGTCAGAGGGTGAGCGCTGTTTAAATTAGCTTTAGACAAAGCAAAACACAGGCTCTGACACTAATGTAATTTTAGGGGGGAAGTGAGAGGTTTGCATCCTCTGTAGTAGTTACTACTAAATGTAACCTTCCTTGGGGCAACGGGCTTGTTCCCATCCACCTTTGGCAGGAAGAGCTGAAGATACAGTTCAGACAGGAAGCGACTCAAGGCCGGGGAGAATAGATAAACACTTTGTATGCAAAGGGTCGAGTTAGAGGGGGAGCTCAGGGCAAGCAAAGGAGCAGGTGCCACACTTACAGTGAGGATTAAGATGTAGGGTAAGGTGGGGAGAACAAAGGGGTTTTACCTTAGCGCCCAAGCAACTGTAAGGGGCACTGTCAGGCCAGGGAAAAGCAGAGCCTCAGCTCAAGATTAACCTCCTACGGTCTGGGCTTTTCTTTCCTTCCCATCCCCCAAGCTCCCATTGTTCACTCTCATCACCAGTGCCTGTTTGCAAGGCTCCTGTGTTCAGAGCACTGGGGTAGCAAAGTACCAAGGGCCAGGTAGAATTCTTTAATGTTAAATCTCTCCCTTCCCTGGTCGAGGGGAACATGTTCAGGGGCTGCACATGGGGTGCAGGGGAAGGGAACACCCTCACCATGGAATCTGATAAACGTGGAGTTACAGGACAAGAACTCTCATTTAAGATCTACCCCAAAGGCTGCCTGGCCTTTGCCTGACATTAGATTACCATACTAGTGCTGTCTTACAAAACTTACACCTGCACTTACAGCTAGTATGAGTGTAGTCAGCCACGCAACAAAGAAGGGCCTCGGAGGAGTCCTGTGGGGGGAAAAAAATTACCAACAGTCTGATTTCGTTTGGTTGGAATAAATTTATTTCATCTGTCTGTAAACAAGGTGTTTTTAATAGTTATGGCATTTTTTGAAATGCATATTAAATCAGATGAGTTAGACTGTATCCCAGGTGTAACAAAGTGCAGGGAAAGAAATGGACAAATCGGCAACAAGAATTTGTTTAAATCTGTACATTATCCACAAGGCCCAACAACAGAAGCAAATACTAGAATGTCCCTAAA